TAATTAAAGTATAATATTATTATATAATTTTTAACTTTCGAATAACACCTAAATATCAATTGTAAGCTTTATAATATAAGGAGATCTAAAAATAGAATATAAAAAAATTATTAATAATAATTTATTTATATTAATTTTCTTATTATCCAATCCACTGATCTTTCCCAATGATATATTATTGTTGAAGCCTATGAATAGAGAGAAAACAAAAAAAAAAACAAAACAAGAAAACCTAAAGTGGAATGGAGTTGGGAGATGGTAAATGATATTCTTCCCTACCATGGCTTGTCTATTTCTATATTTTCTCTTCTCCTTGGTTTATGTCTATGCTCTTCCTATAGCCTTAACTTTGTCTAGGATTTGCTTTTCATCTTCTTCATTTATTCATTGATGCTTCAACTTCGCCTAGTTCGCTTTGAGTATTGAAAGAGTTGCCAAAGGAAGCTTCTTCTCCTCCTTTAACAGTGTTGCTCATTTTTAATTGAAAGTTATAGGGGAGCTCGCGACAAATGTAAGGATCTTAATGCTTCTTCGGCTAAATCCAGTAAATTCATCGAACTATCGGATTTACTAAATTTGGGATTTTGGGGCAAAAGGTAAAAAATGACATGAAATCAAAATTTCACTCACTTACCATGAGATTTGAGTGAGCATTTTTTGAGTCTAGAAAGATTCAACTCAAATCCTGCGTAAATCTTGTATATGAATAGCCTCTTAAAAAAGATGGTACAATAATATAGAAGACTTTTAATTATATGCCATCTTATATGAAATCTCATATATATTAAATTTTAAAAAATTTTGAGTGAAGATTTTTTCCTTAATAATATTAAGGTGAGTCTACTCTCAAATTTTTTTTCTGTTCTAGTGAAATGACGTTAGCAAATGCTCATAGTTATTCTATATACTAATATGTATGTATCTTCAACTCATGGTATTAACCGAGCTTATCTCTTAAGAGGTTGACCAAAAGATACACTTGTTAACACTCATAGGGTATCAACCAAAACAAATATTAATAAGGGCAAGCACTTGCACTAGTGAAGCTCGACTATGGAAGCACATGCCCCAAACAAGTTTGATTGAGGGAGTAAATTACTTTAGCAGGTCTTGACCTAAGGAGTTATACTTACCTCATTAAAACTAATCATAAAGAAAACACGCCTCAATCAAGATGACTCGCTTCTCTCAAAATGTCACTACCCAACCTAACACAACTCATACAGGTTAAATTAGGTCAAGTACGAAAAAGATATATTGTCCAATATTTACTTGGAAGAATTTCTGTTTTTTATTATTATTATCCAAATTCATAACACAAAGTAACTGAACACTAGCATACATTAATAAATAGAATTCATAATTCAACATGTATATAGATATCAGGACTATTTACTTGCAAAATATCAATATACCATAATCATGGCTTTCCCACAATTCCAACAAAATGCATTTATCACATGATTATAAAATAATCAATCTATAACTGAAAAGAGTACTTCTAACAACAAACAACGACCTCACTCCTTAAGGGCCTTATCCTTCCCTGAAACATATAAATATAATGAATATTGAGCAAAAAACCTAATAAGTTATACGAAATCTACAATTGTATTCAATGCATGGGAGTAAAACAATATGCATGTTATCAATCAATTTATTATGAAAGCTAATTACGTGCTGAAGAAGTAAATCTCTATGCTACTCGCATAAGTATTATATGCAATACCGTTATTATCATTTTAGAATCATATACCGTATATGTCACTATATCATATCAAAAGATTTAAACGTTGCATTTATCATATAAAACAATATCTCATATACATGTATACTAAGCAAGGCAAGAATTCTGACTAATAATTATTAGATATATTGTATTAGACGGTTAGGATGCATTTAATCCTGACCGTCCATGGGTTATCAGTTTTCTATATATAGGACTACTTGTAATACTTTTGGAAATAATAAAGATTTCACTTTCCTTTTCTCTGTTCTGAGCTTCTTGATTTATCAACAATAATATCATATCATGTAGTGTTTTTTTTTTCCTTGTTATCATATCATATAATATCATGTGGAATAGTAAATGAGAGTTGTCACCCCCAGCCCATCAGCAATTATAGTCACATCACATTTCTTTTTTTTTTTTTTTTTTGGACATTTAGGCCATTTAAGGCAAACTCACACACACAACGCATACACATAGACTCGAACCTTTGACCTCTTAGGAGGAAGCCTAAGCTCTCAACCAATAGGCCAAGGAGAGTTGTTTCACATCACATTTCTCCTTATAACTACTATCACAAATAAGGTTTACACCAAAAACTCATATTTAAAGAAAAGCTTGTCGTCCCACCCTCCAACTGTAATAGCTCGTATTTCGACTCAAAATAATTCTTTTTTTAGGATTCATTATAAGTCAAATTTGAAAAATATATTCTCCATAAGATAGATATTATTGTGTTTACTTATATTTTCGTAATTTTTGGGCACTGATGCAAATCCTTAAGAAATTGATATATATTTGTATAAGTGAAAATTTTGAGACTGTCAAGTGTCCATTTTATGAATCAATTTCACCAAAATTTTTTAAATAAAATGAGCTAATTTATATTTCTATTTTCTATAATTTTTGAAACTTTAAAAGAATTTATTTATATATTGATAAAAATTTCACCGCGTAACTTTTAGTATGCGATGGATCTCATCAATATGAGCATTTTGATAATAATATATTATATTTTCACTATTTAAATTGAAAGTTATGATTTTTTAAAGTAATTATATAATAGATAAAATTGATAGTTTTTTTTATATTTTATGAATTACTGTATTTCATACATGAAATTGACAAAATATAGCATTTACATATAAGGGAGGCTAGATGAAAGGATGTTTGTTAACATGGAAGATGAAGACCGATACGAATTAGTTGACAATTGGGTCTAATTAAGACCGATACCCAACTAGGCTACAATTGGGGTTGGCTGATACCAATTGGTTGATAGTTGGGCCTACTTAAAATTGATAGCTAATTGGGCGACAATTGGGATTAACTGATACCAAGTAATTGACAATTAGGTCTAGATTAAAATTGATATTCTACTAGATAATAATTAGGGTGGAAGGATGAAAATCCTTCCAAAAACATAAAATTCAACTAGTAAAAATGTAATATATTCTTGTCAAAAGCTAATATTGACAAGATCTATCACATATACAAAAAAGTTAAACGCTGAAAATTTTATCAATATAAAATTATTCTATTTTTTTTATAATTAAAATACAAATTTAATCAAAAAAATATTAAATTGTTGAAAGCAAAAATAGGCTAATAGTTCCTTATAGTGAGAAAAGTAAATATTCCAATAGAACCTATAGTCAAAAATTGCTCCACGAATTTCAAACCCTATATTTTATTTCCCCTCTTATCTTTTTTTCCCTAATTCCTTATACCTAAGGCTCTGTGTTAAAACGTGTGGAGTGAAACACGAATAATATCACTTAGTGGTCTTAGATATTATAATAATAATATAATAATAGAAATGTATAATTTAATCATTTTTAATATAAATTCAAATAAATTCTCTTGGGGTTTTAAAAATTATAATTTTTTTAAAAAAATTATCTCATTTTATTTTTAAAAAATTGATGAAATCGGTTAGCAAAATGGACATATAACGATCTCAAAATTTTTACTTGTATTAACATGTGCCAATTTTTTTAAGGATTTGCACAAGTACCTAAAAATTATGAAAAATTCATTATAAGTAAAACACAATAATATATATTTTTTGGAGAATATGATTTTCAAATTTGACTTATAATAACTCCTAAAACAAATTGACTGAGTCAAAATAAGAGCAATTGCAATATCTCCACTTTAGAAAAATTTCAACCTCTACATTTCTCACGAGTAATACAAAATAAAATAATACAAAGTAAAAAAAAAAATCAAATGTATAATATATGAAATCAAATTGATTCAAAACTCAAGAATCTTTATCAGATATAAATCATAACAAAATAAATTCTAAAATCATTGAAAAAAAACTCAAGGTTTAAGCAATAAATTAAATAAAAAAGTATGAGTTCTATTTTCAGGCACTCTAGGAGTCTCTTTCATAGATTCCAACTTTCTACTTCTAATTCGAACATATTCTTACCCAAGTCCACATAATGGGCATTCTTCCATTCGGTGCCCATAATCAACGCTTCAAAAACATTATCTTATTATCTAATATCTGATAGCAGTGTACCATGTCTTCTCTCACACCATGTATATATATTATAGAGTGGCAGGTGCTCCGGCAATGCTACCAGTTTTTTTTCTGCTACTTTCACCAATTTTCTTAAAACTCACTCTAAAATATTTTGTTAATTTATCGATCATCATCTAAGCAATCATATCATCAAACTTTTCCATATTCTTAGATGTCACTAAAAACACTTCAGTAGCAAATTCAGATGTCTTCTCTTTTGGTCCATTTGCCTGATTTACTTTGTCATATCCCAATATCTAAGCGAAAGAACATATTTTATATTCTCTTTTTTCATATATAATCAATATTCACTCATTTATCAATCATATCAATACAAACATCTAAAGCTATTTAATTGCATTAAAAATTTATAAAATACAAAAATATAATTCACATTACTACTATTGCTAATTACAATCTATAACCAGAGTCTAAAATAATATATTCAATAGCAACACTGACTACAAAAATACATAAATCAAAAGTTGAAATAAAACTATACTAGCATCAATACACAGCCTCAAGCTGTAGGCTCTTTACCTGAAATCAATTAAAACCACATAATGGGCATAAAAGCCTAGCAAGTAACCAAAACACTATCACCGCTTTCAATAAAAAATAAAAGAATTAATACATATGTTCAATTCTAGCCAATATAAATTATCACTTAATACGAGCAATAATAATCTTAAAAATTAATAATAAAATTATCATAATGAGTAAAGCCAAAAGAGATATATCAAACTATAAGGCATATGATAAAGAGTAATATATATCACTTAATGAATCATGTCAATTTATTATACTATGTTGTATCAATATTATTGCCAATATAATTTCAATTATACTATCAATCAATTCACCTTTAGCTTGAGGCACCAGTCCTTCCTTTCTCACACCAAGCCAACGATTTATGAATAGAGTCATTGGTCCATTGGAGTTCCAAAAATTATACTACGAATGTATATTTATCTTGCCATATTCAGTCAGACATGTTGTTTAAGCCTTCATTATTATCAAGACCTTCACATGATGTCCCTTCTTTTGTTGTCATCCTTCATGCATCCTGCATGAAGGATGACTTATTATGTTTTGAAGGATGACTTGTACTAAAGTATCGTTTGAGATATTTTTCTTGCTATTTTTTAAAATAATTTTTTGATATAAAATTTTTTAGAAATATATATATATTATGAAAAAGCTGATTTAAAAAGCAGTAAGACAATTATCCCAAATAAAATCTAAATCACCACAAGATGAGATATTCCATAGGCACAAACATTGGGTTTGAATCCATAAGAAATCATCACTCATAAGTAATTAAACTATATTTCACAATCTCTAATATTAAGGGGAAAACTCAAGAATATATGTATAATGGTTATATTTTTTAACAAGATTACAAAGCTTATATGAGCTTATCCTTTTAATCAATCAAATAATTTAGCATAGCTTATAGCTTAATCTTTTGATGCTCATAATTTATTTCTTGCTTATATTAACATAGATAATTTAAAGTTTTAAAACTATATCCAATGAAAAAGTTTGCTTTATATTCCTCATACTACTTGAAATTGGCCAAAAATATATCTTGTTTTTTTCTTGGAAAAAATATACTCTAAAGTTTATTTCGGATGAAAATACTTTTGATTTATAAAAAAGAATTCAAATTTCAAAACCCTTGTACAAATTGGTACACAAGCTCTCGAATCAGGATTAATTATTATGTGTGGACGTCGAATACTGTCTGGAGACCAACCAGAATGCGCCACGTCACTCCTTTGCTCGGTATCACGACTCGGTACAATTGATGTGACACTTTTTTATTAGTCTCCAAACGATCTCCATACAGAATAATTTCTCAAATAAACAGGAAGCTATTCGTGTTTTGAAATTTTTATATATATAAAAGTAAATTAATCATTTAAATAAAATATAATGGAAATATGAATATTAAAATCTTGACCCAGCTCAGCTCTTAACAGAACTGCTACCTTGCTCAAATTCGACTTTCCTTTACGTGTTCATTGGCTATAGGTTCTTTAAGGCTGTTCGCTGCTTCCCAAAGTACCCTTTTTTAACCTTTCACTGCTCATCACGCACTCGCAGTGTGGAGTAGAAAGTGGAAACTTTCACCAACCACACCGACAAGGAGCCGGAGGTTGCGGAATCAGCGGCTCTCTCAAGAGAGAGAGACGCAGAAAACCTCACTTGGGAATCTCTACCGGCATCGGCTGCCATTATTGAGCTATGGTTTCCGTGGGTGGCGGCATGGGGGACAAGCAGCAGGAGGAAGGTTGGTTCATTTACAGTTTCGTTGCTCGGGGTACAATAGTGCTAGCTGAGTTTACAGAGTACACCGGAAACTTTCCGGCGATAGCTGCGCAATGCCTTCAAAGGCTTCCAGCCTCCAATAATCGCTACACGTACGCCTGCGACCACCACACCTTCAATTTCCTCCTCCATGACGGCTATGGTATTCTCCAGTCACTTTATCTCTCATCCCTCATACACATTTCCTAAACTTCTCACTCCCTATATCAGATCTGGTCTATGTTACTCCGGCGTAGGTAATTTTCGAGAATTTACTCCTTTAAATATTTATTGGTGAGAATTGATGTGGAAAAATTTCAATGGAAGTACCTTTCGGTGCATTTTAAATATGTTGCTTATTAACTGGTATGCAGATCTTACGAACGTTAGAATTCATCAAATTTTAATTTGGCGAACATCTGTTGCAAGCGGAATTGTTCTTTTCGCTTTGTCTGAGTTTATAGAGAGTTGTTAGATTTTCTGAACCTTGAAGCTTGATTTTTGGTGCTTTGTCTAAGTTTCAATTAGAGAACAGGGCATCCTACTGATAATAGTGTTGGTGATTTTACCTACCATTCAAAGAAACAATCCCATGTTGTTTGAAAGCTACTAAGATCGAAGCATAACTCTTATAGATTTGTTGTTGTCGTGTCCTCAATGATGTTAGCAACAACTACAAAGACTATGATAACTGTCACATGTCAAAACATTTGTTACAACAAAGTGAGAGAGTTCGTTATGTTAGCATTGCACAAAGATTCCATAGATAAGAGATTTGCAAGGGATACCATAATTTTTTATGTGAAAAAACCTGAAAGGGAAAAATCATGAGCCTAATCTTGTTGAAATGATTCCACTAATAATTATAATCGGTTATAAATGATGTCCTTTCTTGTAATTGAAAAAGTTTTTGTTACAAAATAGTAAACATAAACATTAGCGATGAATTATATGGTGGAAGGTGGATGAGCCCTATGACATTGGAGTTGTCTTCAGAGCCATCTTAACTAAACTAGGTCTGAACAAATCATTGGATTGTCACTTGATTGACTTGGTGGGCTAGGCTGATCTAGATGGGTCCCTTGAGGCCTAGGGTATTGTAGAAGAACCTAGGGTTAGCTAGGATCCACTTGGTTTACACTAAGAAGCCATGATATTGCCTAGGAAATATAAACATGTTAGGAAATATAAACATGTTAGGGCTATCAATTATCTTATGTTGACCTAGCTAAGAAAGGTTAACATATGGGTTTTGAATGGGTTTTTCTAGAGTCTAAAGTGAAGTATAAATATTTATACCACATTAGTTTGGTCAAAGCTAGCCTAAGATATGCTTAATCTAATAGAATAGGTTGTGTTAGCCCCTAGAGAATTTGTTCACATCATCCTAAATCATTGGGTCAAAGAGTGAACAAGGTCAAGTCCAAAAGCGTTAAGCCCTCTAGAATATTCTTTGGGCCCCTAGAGGATTTGTTCACATCATCCTAAATCATTTGGTCAAAGACTGAACAAGATCAAGTCCAAAAACCTTAAGCCCTCTAGAATATTCTTTGGGATATCCTTAGAATTGTATATTCATCCCATGATGATGTAGATTCTTAGATCATGTGAAGGATGTCCTTGGGTTTAGATTCAACTAAAATAATATTAAGCCAGTCTGAATTAGTTAAATGGGACATTCTCCTGACCGATGCATCTAATATATATTAAGTAACCATGGCCAAGCTTGCATTGCCTCAATCATTCCTCAATAGGATTCATTACACTGGGACTGATCAAACCCATAATTTGATTTGGACATAAATATCTCTAACTAGATAAGTTGTTGGGGAAGTAAAACCACACAACAAACATAAACAAAAAAGAGAAAATGCAATGAAAAGAAAGAACACTAGGATTTAACGAGAAAAACCCAAAATCGGGAGAAATCACGGAGCCACACTACACCAAGAAATTCACTATGAAAATTTGGGAGAAATAGTTTAGATCTCTCTCTCTCTTTCTCTCTCTATCCCTCTCTCTTCACCCTTGCATCATTCTCTACTAGAACTAAAAAAGAGATACATGACAAAACTAGTAAGCGATGCAACCCTTCTTGAAAAAAGAGAAATAAAACTACTCAACCTGCCTTGCAGTGCCGCAAAGCCAGGTTTGGAGCCCATGGCACTCTACTCTCTGTCCCTTGCCTATCTGACAACGTCGCAGCGTTGAGGTCTAGAGCGCTGCAATGCTGCACCTTTTATCTCTTGCCTAAGTCTTAGTGCCGCATCACTTGGGCACACAACACTGCAATGTTGTATGATTGTACAGAGAGAAAATTGGGGTGCAAAGCACCCAAACCCAAGCAGGGGGAGGATCCCGCGCGCGCAAGCTCAACCAATGGAATTGAGGTCCAAGGTAACAATACAATCCGATTGATAGACACAATTAAATTCCACAAAGAACTAACACTAGGTGTATATAATACCCACTCAAAGTGTAGCTAAGATAGTGTTTGAGCCAACTAGGTATGTTTGACATCTAGTTGAACACAATCAGATAAATGAGTTAGATCCAAAAGTGGTGCCAATATTCTTTATAAGATGGATTTACTCATCTTATTCCAAAAGCTAATTTGTCTTTAGACATTGTGTTCACCATTGATGATTAATGTCAAACATAACTTATACAGTATCGTAATCAAGCTATTTATGTAAGTCATGAATCATTTTGAATGAAGCACAAAAATTGTGCCCATATATATAAATATCAATACTCATCTAAAGCACAAAATGTATGTGTTGAGATGAGCATTAGAGTCTTATGATGTAATTTTTCTTTGGTTTGTTCTTTGTAATTCATGCCTAAGATAGTTTTTATGAGAATGAGGTGTGTCTCTATTTTTTTTAAATTATATTGTTGGCATTGGATTAGTACCATAAGGTTTCGACTCACCCTACTAAATTCCAAATTCAACATGCTTTGATTTCAGATTTAGTTCAACAATTATTGATTTTGAAAGAATTGGATGGAACATTTGTTTCTTTCTATTTCCTTCTAGCATCTCTATTTTGACAACAGTTTACTTACTTTTGTTGCCCTATTGTCCTGTTGCCTTCTGCCTTCGTTGTTGACTTCTAGTGCCCTCAAGTTTTCCATTACCACTATTATCTTCCTGCTACTTCCACTACTTATTGCTTCCGACTACTGCTCCCTTTTATTGTTGTAGGCTTTCCTATGCCTATGTACTGGAATCGAGAATTTCATGTGATGGAATCGAGTATTAGAGATCTTGCCCTATTGTCCTGTTGCCTTCTGACTGTTATATTTGACTATATCCTTATAAAGAAGTTTTTATATTTGAGGTTTTTTTTATGTTATAAATAACATCCCGAGGCATGCAATATTCATTCAATGATTCAATAAATTTACAAATTATCTCTCAATGCATATATGAGCTATTGGATGCCGATTCTTTGAATGTTTTGTAGGTCTTGACAATAACTTATGGGGATGCTTCTTGTACTGACGTTTGGCCTAAACATTCAAAGACGATTTCTCTCATTCTTTTTGCTCATAACATGTTTGGTGACTAGTGCATGTGTGTGATTAAAATTTTGGGAAGTTTGATATGTGCCGAATTATTTTTTGTGATGTGAATATTAATTGTTGAATTATTTTGTTCGATCTAAAATTTTTTTCTATGATTTTAAATTTTAGAACCTATTACATTTTTGTTTTGAATTATTTAAGTGTATTTATTTATTTTTTTATATTAGAAATGATATTTCTTTATTAGATTTAAACGAGAATTTGACTTTTAACAGAACACAATGGAGAAAAAAATTCTATGTAGCCGATCCCACGTAGTGGGACAAAAGCTTGATGATGTTGTTGTTGTTGTTGTTGTAGTATTGGAGGTGACTATTATTTTTTGCGAAAGTTAAGAATTGATAACTTGTGAATTGTAGTTTTTTTTTTTTTTATGTTTTATTGTGCTACTCAGTCTAGATTTCACCATAGAATGTTGCCCTAGGCGTATTACATTAGGTCACATGAATTGATGGAACTTGGCGACTGGCATGAACTGACTTAAGTTGGCCACAAAAGGATTGTGGCCCTTACAAGCCACTGTCACAACAGTTCTTAGGTGTATCTAACAAGACGGGTGATTTGGGAGATGTGGCAAAATCGGACTATGACTGGTACAGAGATACATAGTTGGTGATATGGTAAATGCGATTTTATATATGTATATGGTTATCTTTGGAGAGTTCTTGATTTTGACTAGTTAGGCCACCATGAAGACATGACTCCTTACTCTGATATGATTATCAGAGATGGCTAATATAAAGAAAGTGAAATAGCAGAGATTGGGAGAATCAGATCAGCAACCCCACTTTGATGCAACTACTTTTACCATGCATGGTGCATGTCGAATGATGATAACATACATGAATATATTAATAGCGCATACATGCAGTCATCATGATTTGGATGGTGTTTGTGCAAATGTAATATAGCTTTTAATTTTTTATAAGACTGGGGATATAACTTCATGCATTGATTGTGAATGTTGAAACAAGACTCTAGTCATGCTTTTTTTCAGTTTAGCTTGAATTGTGTAAATTTTCCTTTGTTTTGTGTTCTACATAATAATTATAACTGAATAATTACTTGGTTTTTTCTTTAGATCGTATTTGGTAATAGTTTCTGATACTTGCTCAGTTTAAGTTTTGCCTTTGTTATGAAGTGTCATTATACATTCAAACTGAGAAATGGATGTGGCGTGTCTCATTGATGAGAAGAGATATCATAAAACTTAAAATGATAACTATTTGAATGGCTGAGAATTGTAAGAGTTTAAGAAAACCTAAATCATACATAATTTTTTTTTTTGCCTTTTTTGCTGTAAATGTTGCAGTATATTGTGTCGTCGCAAAGGAATCTGTTCCAAAGCATATCTCGATGGCCCTTTTGGAACGAGTGAAGGCAGACTTCAAAAAGAGATATGGAGGGGGCAAGGCTGACACAGCAATTGCAAAAAGTCTGAATAAAGAATTTGGGTATGATTGAGTCATGCTCTTCACTAAGGCACATCTTGAGCCTTCTATGTTGTTTTTTTCACAGCAATAATGTGAGCTTAATGTGCAGATCAGTGATTAAGGAGCACATGCAGTATACCATTGAGCACGCTGATGAGATAGAAAAGCTTCTAAAAGTGAAGGCTCAAATTTCAGAAATCAAGAGCATTATGTTTGAAAATATAGAAAAGGTATTCAGCATCGTTTGAATTATATCTTTGATCTCTACTGAACAATCTTAAATCAAAGTACTATGGAAAGCCATATTTTCTTTATGAATCTGGATGTACTTTTCAGTTGTTAGATTTGAAATAATTTGTTGTGCTACTCTTGACAAGGACTATAGCTCCAACATTCATTTAATTTATTTCATCACCATCATTAGCCTTATCATGTAGGCCTTTAGATGACATTGTTAAGAGAGTAGATGTATTAGATACGGCCTGTGTTAAGAAAGATAGAGGTATACCTAAAAAGAATTGATTAGAAAGTATTAAAAATGATATATTTTTATTAGATTTAAATGAGAATTTGGCTTTTAATATGAAATAGTGGAGAAAAATGATTTAGGTAGCTGACCCACATAGTGGGATAAAGACTTGTTGTTGTTTTTGTTGTATAGTCATTAGCCTTATCACAATTATTTGAGGTAGTTTTATGAATCTTCAATTTTCATTTGTTCCAATCAAGTACTGTTTGAGTTGTGTAGCCTATTCTCACTTTTTTTTTTTTACAACTTCTATTCATATTTGCTTAGCTTTACTTCGTTTCCTTTGTAATCCTTGACAGTAATTTTAACTACCCATTTAATGGGTGTATTTTTGGACCTTTGTATATTTTCAAACCATCCTATCTATCTTGAGCTATCTTATCTTAAATAGATGTCACTCCAATAATCCTTTTAATACAATCATTCCTCTTTTATCTTTTGTAGTATTGCCGTATACTTATCTTAATGTTCTCAATTTTTTCATATTGAACATTGCTATAAACAATCTTTTTACTTCCCAACACTTTGTTTTGTACAACAAAACCATCCTAATTGCATTTTGATACTATTTACTTGCAAGTCTCTATGATGTCCTATTATAGAATAATATTTGGAGATATTTATTATCACCACCCATTCTTTTCTATAATAGATCCAAAATATTCAGTAGCTTATATGAATTTCAATCTTTAGTTGGCCTTAATTCCCTATTTGTAGTTGACCTTATGCCTACTTATTTATAACTGATCTTAGGCTATACTTCATTTGATTAACATCTTAGCTAATTATTTGGGCCAAACTTAGACTTTTACTGTTCTTAATGTGAAAAATATTGAGTGCCACATGAAAGTTGAATATATACAACGGTTGCAACCCTTTCAGGCTTTCATTGCTATTATAGTAGATAACTTATGCCTGCTGCTTCTTTCAGGCTATTGATCGAGGTGAAAAGCTTAACGAACTAGCTGAAAAGACAACTGATTTGCATTCTCAGGTACGACACTCTACTACACAATTATTGGCTGACATATATGTTTTTTGGCCTCACTAAGTGGAAACATTATATATAACTACATAAGAAGGTTATGCTGCTAGTGCTAATAATTGTAACAAGTAATTTGGGTTGAGTTAGTTAATGTGTCATTGTGGTTCATTGTAGTTTATAATCTCCCAATTTGGAAGTTGATTTTCACTGTTTCGATTTTCTTCCTCCCATTTTTTTCTTCTTGCCAGCAACCTCGATCTGCCAATTATCCCTCTTCCCCACTGTTTTACTAGTCTTCTTGCAGAGAAATTATTCTGTGCGGATATCGGACCGTCTGGAGGTGAATCAGAACAGACCACATTATCCGGTACACAGTGTTACACAGCTGCGGTACACAACAAATAGGTGACATAACGCGTTCTGATTAGCCTCCGGACAATATGTTGTCCGCACAGAATAATTTAAACTTCTTGCAGCATATGTGTGAATTACTTGTAATGGCAACAAATTTGCTATAACTTATTGCAGGCTCAAGATTTCAGGAAACAGGGAACAAAAATTCGCAAGAAGATGTGGTTTCATAATATGAAAATCAAGTTGCTTATCCTTGGAATACTTCTGCTGCTTGTCCTCATTATTTGGGTTTCCATTTGTCAAGGATTCAACTGCACCAAACAGGAGGATGGAAATGCAAATACAAAACCATAGTCGCTGCTAAAAGAAAGGTATATAAAACTTTCAGAAAATTGGATTTCAACATAAGAATGCATGTAAATATCAAAGAACAAAGAAATCTGCTTGTTTTTAGTCTTGCTTTATTTATTCTTTAGATGCTTTATATGGGAAGGAATTGTTGACTGGAATGATTTGCTGAAGAGTACTAACTACTAATGTTTATCACCATTGTTGCTTTGAAGGATTTGATCTCTGTTTTCTGCATAAATCTGTACAGAGTTTGATGGAGGGTTTTAAAAGTTGGCTTTGATTTCGGTGGCTTCAACAATTTATCTAATTTTGGTTTCAGCACTAGTTAGTTCTATCAGTATCTGATTGATAAACTTTTTTCTTTGTTTGAAATTATTGAAGATGCTCAAAGCTGAAGACTTATATATTTCTTTATATAAGAAATAGTATTTCTTGCAAAAATGTATATTTATGTGATGTAATTGGTTATTGTTGCTCCTTTATGTGGACCCCAATTTCTCTATCTTCGAGTTTATCACAGCCGTCGAAATTTCATGATCAACCCCTTGAATACATATTGAAAGTTTATTTTTCTATGATCTAAGTGTGCAATTCAAACTCATGATCTAAGTAAAACCTTTTGCAATTACTAGTCATGAATCCTTTAAGTACTCATAATGTATGGGAGATAAGAACTTTTTTTATAATTATTTTAAATGTTAGATTTTATATAATAATTTTAAAAAATATTTAATCCCATTCATCATAGATGGTTATGAGAAAATAAAATCATTAATATTTATCACATAAATTAGTTTAAGACATCATTAAATGTTATAATAACATTATCATTAAGGTCCCAAATTTCGTTTGGAACTGTTTTTTTACTGTTTCTTAAAAAATTAAATTTTTTATACTATAAAGCTACTTTAAGATTTAAAAAGCAGAAAAAAAAAGTTGTCCCAAATGAAATCTAAATCCCGCAACAAGATTAATCTCTATATGGCATTCTATTTAATATACAATTTATCTTTCAAAAAAATAATAAAAGGACATTCGAATATTAGCAGAGTAAAAGTGAAAATTTTCAAAGCCCGCATAGAGGTAATGAAAAAGCAAGGTTAAATTTGAAAATAAGGGGTACAGATATTACAAAATAAACCCTAAACTGTTTCTCAACATTTGCGACAATATCTGCTTGTTTCAAAAAAAAAAAAAAACTGCTTGTTTCCAGAAAATATTCTCTACAACCTCATGGAATATGAAAATAGAGTCAATAATAATGAAAAAACAGTTGAAATTCTATTGAGAATTGGAGAACTTATAGGTGAAGGGAGTGATGTCAATAGAGAGAATTTTATTAACTGTGCAGTGCCATCAACTGGAGCTTTGTACCTATCAGGGAAGCAAAAAAAAAAGGCTTAGGATATCATCCTCAAAAGTTAGCTCTGGAAAACTCTTGATATATTTCAAGACAAAACTGTCCTGTAAAAAACACCTTTTTCTAATTATCCTGATTATTGTCTTGCAAAATAAGAAGAAACGGCTTGCAAAACATCAATAAATATCTTCCCAAGCAAATTTTTGAGGAAGGTATCCTGAGCTAAAACTTATCAATTATTCAGAAAATAAGGGGCTTTATAAGAGAGATTATTATGTACGGATACTAGACGGAGAGAACCATTCAATTTTTCTCTGCCTATACTAAAAGTGCAGTCAAAAGCACAGTTACTGTAGCCACCAGACGGTTCTCTCTATCCGGTGTCCGTACACAATAAAAAGTTTTTATAGAAGACCGAATCGGAAAAAAAATAATTAAAAGTTAAATCTAGCTCAACTTTCCTAATCTGTCAAAATCTTCTAATTCTTATATTTATTTAAGCTCCTCCAAGCTAGGAGAAATATCTGACAATAGAAAAAGAGGCAAATACAAACTTTGAACTGAAAGCGACCAAAACTTTTGAACTACGATACAATAACCCAGACCAGAAAATTTCAAAGGTTGCAGTAAATTGCTTCTGCGCCAAGATTCTTATTTCATGCACAGCAACAAAATAAGCCCAGCTAATCATTCTTATAAGCATCCAATGATCAAATCAACATTTTGAAAGACAAATTTCACACTCTTCTATGTCAAGATTTTCAATATTTTAAAATGAAGATAATTTCAAACTCTATTGACGAGTTAAAGTTAAAAAAAAATATATATATATAAGATGAAAAATATATGAACTTCTGGGATAAGAAGACATACCAGTAATCAATCAAATGCGACTGTGTAACATCCAGGCGCCAATAAATAGAGAGAAAAGAACCACAGCCACGCTTTCTCTGGAGAAGGCAAATTCTTTCCAACTCAAGGATGCTGTGACCTGCTTCAGCACATTCTGAAACTGAGTTCTTGTATCCTCTATTGAACCAGAGTTATCGATGACAATGTCAGCCTTAGTCTTCTTCCAGTCCAGTGAAGTCTGAGCATTGATCTTGTTTCTAGCCTCCTCTTCCGATATTCCATCTCTCGCCATGAGCCGCTGAAGCTGTGTTTCGGGATTTACCCATACGACGATAATAGGTTTCGTTCTTCGATCAATCTTAGTTTCAAATAATAATGGGATGTCAAGGACAACAACCTTGCATCCCTTCACCCAAAGCTTCATAATTTCCCAAAATATGCCAGAAGATATATGTGGAGCTAAAAGACTGCATGAGGGTATATGTTTAACTTTGTAAACAAGCAAGACAATAAGTTGGCATCAACATAACGAGAAAAGGAAGGACTGCTGAAATAGATACATGAAAAACTTAGCAATTTATTTCTTATAAGCTACATCATATTATCTCTAAAGATTTTTAATAAAATTTTTGCAATCTACTCATTCTAGGAATAGTATGAGAATTGTGAAAAGTTGAACTCCTACTAGGTGTAATAGCTTAATTACAACAATAAGAAGGAAATCGTGCCAATTTTTGTATGCAACTTAAAACTTTCCAAGCTCTCATTCCAACCTTAGTTGCTTGCTAACTATGCTCGATTGCTCTGTCAAAATGTAAACGCCTAGAGGTCACTTGGATGACAAATCCCCAAGTCAATTCTTATAACTGAGAGAGAGAGAGAGAGAGGTGGAATAGTTGGCAAATTCAATGTTAGAGCTCCTTCATTTCTTTTAGAGATTCAGTTTAAGTCCATCTAGATGCCTAAAACAATGTCTATTAAAGAACCTTCTCATCAATAATTTTGCAACAGAGACCCTCATACCAATTATTTTCAATCCCACCATCGTCTTATAATCACCATTGGCATAATCAGGTTTTGATATAAAAATTGAGTGCAGATGCTAAATCACAATGAAGAGGCTAAGTGCAAAAATTAGAATAAAAATACAATTATTTACGGAGGATGAGGTGATGGAAAAAATAATAAATGCATCAAATATACAAAAAATAACGAACAGGTGTGATCAAAATTATAGTGCCCTACAAAACTAGTCTACAGCCAGTAATGTACAAAGGTTTCCTGTATAATTGTGATTTCTATTGTAATTTAAAGGACAAATATATGGTAATGTTGAAACACATACCGGTTTAGAAGTTGACGTTTTGCTGGATCAGAAAAAACAATTTGCCCAAGGCGTGATCTATTGATCTCTCCATTTTCAAGCAAAATATCATCTCCAAATGCAGTAGCAACCTTTCTCCATCCAGGTGTTCCTTTTTTTACAACATCCTGCAATGTAGCAGTTTCCAGTTAATGTTAATATAATACTTGACAAGAAAATTGAAAAAAAAAAAAAAACTTCAAGTAGAAAAGTTCAGATTTGATAATGTAATCCGAAATGATAAATTATAGGGTTTTTATTGAGTAATGTGAAAATTTTCGCTCATGAAATGCATAATCAAGGGAATGAAATCTATAAACAATATTTATGGCAGATAATAGGTTTGAGCTTCTGTTGGTAGGTTAATGATGCAAGTTTTAAATTTCTTAAATAAAGGCCTAAACTGTGGAGTTTTGCGTCAAAATAGCAAGCAATATTTTCAATATTCCATGGACCAGCCATTAGTGGAGGAATTTGAAGGTATTTTGAATATTTTGACATAATTCTTATTTTTATGTCCATTTCTTGGTTTTTAAAGGATTAATTATTATTTCCAAACTAATTTGGAATTTGAAGCATTTTCTAGACTTGTCTTAGAAGTTATATATAAGGTGATCACATGTAATTATTTGCAATGTGAAAATAAAACCAGTAACTTGATCTCAAATCTCCTCCTCTCTGCTTCCACACCACAATCCACCAAAAATAGGAAATAAAGGCGTTTTGGCCTTCCTGTCTCTCCTCCCTCCCTTCTTGACTTGTCGGGCTGATCAGTTCAAATAAAAAGCCTCTACTGCTTATGCACCACTTCCATTCCTCAACCACGTAATAATACATTACTAAATAAAATTTAAGAAGGCATTATAGAACATAATCAATAATGGTGGTTGCCTTCATAGATGGCAACTAAAATAAAGTTCGCTATAATCTTTAGTGTATTGTAGTTCACTTATAAATCTATTTACATTGTAAGGAGCAACAAAATAAAATAGTGTGTGACGTTTGCACTATGTGTGTTATATAACGCATAATGCACATGGCACAAGCTAATTCATTTTCTAGTTTTTTTTAAATTAATTTATTTAAATTATATGTACGAATAAGAAAAAAATTATTGGAGATTAGACATAAAATAATGAGAATATTCTCATTGTTAGGCTCAACTCTCATGCAAATGTATTTGCTCCACTATCTAGCTAAAGCAACATGACAAATATGTAAAAAGTATACATTTTATCCTTCTTGACATGTAGAGTTTTAACTTGTAGTGCTCAAATGATGAATGATAATCAATCAAAAAAGCTTACAAAATAGATTCATTTCTATCTTTGTTATTCCTGAATGAGGAACAATGTTATATATTGTTGTTGATACACAAGTTAGGATTGTCTCTGCCCTTATGTTGAGCTTATTATATGTTATGTTCATTTTCTCTCCCTCATCAAGAAAAGGGTAAATATATTTATCTAATGTAGTACTTTCTTAGAATTCTAGCTATTTTTCTTTGTATCTTTTTTTTTCTTAGTCCCCTAAATATTTATTAATCTCATAAAGTTTTCACTTTTATTAACATGACTTGTCTCTTCTACATTGTCTTAATTTAGTCTCCGGCATTTGGATATGAGTATCTAGAAATCCCTTTAGAAGTATAAAATATAATTAGGTATGACAGATAAACTAAGGCGTTGAATGAAGAATGATTTTCAAAGGTCAAGTCATGTATCATTTATGTTTGATGTTAAATTGGCTTGATTTCAATTAATTTATTGAAGTCAAGAATGGGTGCCTAATCATATCCATCTCAGGTTGATTGAAACCACTTTACACTATTATTGCTTCACCTCTCTATTCCCACAACTCATTGGACTTTGCTTGAATTGTATAATGACATGATAACATCATAAAATTTATATTACATAATATGTTAATACAATACTATATTCTATTCACATAACATTGATATTGCTTTTGTACATAAGGATCTTTTTCTATTACACTGTTGAGTTTTCAATATAGTAATCGAATTTTTAATGTGTCTTGCTAGTTTTAAATTTGTGAGTCATGCTATATGGTATGACTCCATGGGACTTTTGCACGATGGTGCTGTATGTGCTATTTGTTAGGATTTCATGGAGACGAAAAACATAATTCGATCGTCTCCGAAACACATGCCAAATCATCGAGAAGAATTTTCGGAAGCATACCTGAATCCATTGAAATGCATAATCAAGGTCTTTCGATCTTCCACATTTAGAGCGGCGTTCTCCAAGTGAGCGAGAGACCCCTTCTTTTCACTCAAGATGGGAAATGAGAGAAAAATGAGAACTTTGCCGCTTAAACTGGGGACCATGACCCTTATATACTTTAAGTGTAAATATTTTATTTCAGCCCATCATAAAAATAAAATAAATACCCGGCCTCTACACAAATTAATTCCATACAAAATTAATTGAGATGTCACATAAGCCAAATAATAATTTAATACTCAAATAGATCACAAATTTAATTGGCTTAATTTTAGATAGTGTCTAATGTATAATTCTTTATTTATATGTATAAAATATATTGGCCCACATATAGAAATTTCCCAACAATCTCCCACTTGGGCCACATATATATATACATATAATTATACATTCTGAAATAACTGTAAGAGCTCAATTTTGTTATCTTTCTAAAATAACATCTCTAGACAATCTGGTCCATCAATCATATCAATATAGAATCTGATGTGAAACCACATGCAAGGAGCTCATTAAGACAATTAAGAAGAATTAAACAATTTAATTTCACTTGACAGCTTATTGTCGAGACAAGATAATTCAATAAAGATTCTTGGTTTTCAACTCGCTTAGGCGAAGGAGTACATGTAAATTAGCTAATCCTCGGAGATAATAAAAAAAATAATAGCAAAGCTAAGAGCTATTAAACAACAATCCAAAATTTAATAACGAGAAATTTCACCTTGGGGATTATTCACTCGACTACACTAGGCTTGGCGAGAGAAGATTTTGCAACTGAATTGAGATCACCACTAGGAAGAAGATGCCGGAAGTCTTTGTCCACGGGAAAGTAGTCGGAGTAGGTGGGGTTGGCGGTTGTCCGGTGATGATCCAACGACTTGGTGGAAGATGGATCTCATGATCCGCCATTCAACATTGAAGTGGAGAGGGGAGGCGTCGTCTTCTCCTTTCCTTGGCTTCTCTACTCAAAGAACGAGAGAGAGGTGGTCGGCGGAATTTCCCTA